TGAATCAGGGTTTAGTGGCTTAGGGGGTTTAGGGGACTTTTAGAAGCTGTAAAAAAAAAAACCACTGCCAGTGTGTCCAGCAGCAGCACCATTTTGGCAGAAGCAATGCTTGATGCGTGTAAACTTGCGTAAACGTGTGTTAACGCTAGGTGCACGGTTTGAGCTTGAGCGTTAATTAATTTCAATGGCCAGAATAAATTATAATTCTGGCCAATTAAATGAATTAAAGCCCAAGCGCTTGATGCCCATAAATGCGCCTAAAAGCTTGTAAAAGTGTTAGATACCTTTACAAGCGTCAAGCGTTTTTCCTGCCAAAACGCTGCTGCCAAAAGGAGCAGCATTTTTAAAACGTCCGGTTAGCATGAGACCTAAAGAATTGCAATTGATTGACTCATCAAGCTATGCAATGTTGCTGTTTTTTGTCAATATGCTGTTGATTCGTATGTTGGGAATTATTTGGCCATATTCTCTAAAGGGTTCTTATTTCTGATGCAGTAGTACTTAGCAACCAAGCAGATCTAGTTGATGTCACATATAATATACAGTGGATGTTTGATTGCTTGTTATGGGTTATTGCACATAAGGTAGAACTATGGCAAAATAAAAAAAAAAAAATTATTGCAGCATTATTGCAACATTGCAGTGTGTCACCAGCATTACCATAGCAGATTTTGTTTTTACTTGGTAATCCTGCTGGTAGATCCATTAATTTTCCATTTCCTGTAACAGACCAAGCTGTCCAGCATATATTCATATGCCAGGAATGATTTTTCCAAGAAAAAAATGAAGCTGTTGCTTCAACTGGTTAAAAGTGTTTGCTGAAGTTGGGCTCCAGTGTGTTTGTATTTTACATCTGCAATGCCCTCTAGCTTAGCTAGATAGCAGTTTATTGTTTTATTTTTCTAGGCACAGGCTGAGTAGCCTGTGAGTGAGGTATGAGTTCACCTCAGGACAGGCTAGGGAGGTTCTAAGGTCAGAGCTTCTGGAGTCCTCCCACCTTTCCAGAAACATGAAAGCTTTCTGGAGGAGGGATAGAGGAGGGGAGGAAGCACAGATTTGCATGCTTAAGGGACCTTGGCCAATCCCCTAGCAGGAGGCTGGGCATGGTGACCAAGGCAACCCTTAAGAATCACAGAGTCTGGGGGTGGCAGGTGTGTGTCGGGTGGAAGATGGAGTGAGAGGCTGGAATGTGGAGCCTGGGAGGGGGACCAGGGAAGAGGCCTACCTACAGGCCTACCTACCCACTGTCTTCAAGGGAGGATATCCTGAGCAGCAGGGAAGGAGCCAGCCCAGTGAAAGGCCTGAATGTAGCCACCAACCCATTAAGCTATCAGGAAGGACAGTGTGAGTATACTTAAACCCTCTGGGCTGGATAAGGGGAGAGGGCAGTCAGGTAGAAAACCCAACTAGCTTCAAATCTAGGGCTGATGTGCTAAAATGGCAGGTTCTGGGCCCCCTTGCCCAAGGAATACCCTCAGTGCAGCTGGGTGAAGAGGATAATTCATCTGGGGTGTGAGGAGGTACACCAGAGAGCTGGAAGTCTCTTAAAGGAGAGACTATTTTGTCTTTACCTGTACATAGTTGCTAAGGAGTTACAAAACCAAAACCAAGCTCAAGGACTGTTTACTGACTCTGAGTGCAAAGTGTGGAAGAAAATGTGTGTTGCCTGGCTGTGCAGAGCTTTAGGAGGACCCAAAACTCAGCTACTCCTAAGGGGTTAATTCTACACTTATAGTCAATCTAAAACTACATTTCTATCAAAGGCTACTGTGCCTATACAGTGACAATGCTGCTAATGGATGTACAAATTACTCAAAGGATTAATAGGAACATGTCTTAGACTCAAATGTGCAGTCCACAATCCTCCTTGTTGCTCTGTTGCTTTCTGATGCTATCTTCCCCTGGTTATCTTCCAGTCAGAATGTCCTTTCTTTGGTCATTGGATGGCCACGGATAACTCAACTTGTGCAAGCCCACAGGAGTTACACTGCACCAACACCCAGCTCTGCTCTGCAGTCAGTATACAATTATCAACAAAAATGGCAATATCCAGCAATGAGGCTAGGCAGATTTCAGGTTTAAATAGGCACCAGAATTTGTTGGTGCACGCACGGGCCTTGGCACACCCTCAGATTCAGATTCTGGCACCCAGCGGCCTAGTTAAACTTGAGATCTGGCTAGCCTAATTGTTGGATTGTCTTCAGCTCTGGTTTCAGCACTCCAAGTTCCTAAGCATCCGCTTACCTTGTTACTCACCTGGCTACTCCTAACACATTTCTTTGAATCATCCCTGTCTGTTATGTCTGCTGCTTATCTGTGTTATCGCCTCCAACTTGGACTTCTGACCACGATTCTGCCTCCTGACTACGATTCTGCCACCTGACTTTGTACCTCATTGCCAGCATGTTGCTTACTCCTACCTGTTCCTGATCTTGAACTTGATCCTGATTCTGCATCTGTCTGCCTCGCTGCTATAAAACATAGTTTGGGACTGACTCCATACTGCCACTGGGAGGATTCCTGTGTTCCCAAGCTCCAATTCACCATTCCAGCTTCCTGACACTTGTGCCCTTCCACTGCCCTAGCAGTCCCTTTCTCAACTACCCTGGGGTGCTTTAAAGGGAATTGCACAAGAGGCCACCCTCGTCATCTCAGACTTCACAGTCTGGTGCGTGATAAGTGGATTGTACTACCATGTATAGCCACCATGTAAAAATCCATGATAGGCTGGCTGAAGCCATGGGTGTATAGGTATTTACCTAAATCACATTGTTACATGTGTATCAATGGGGAACTCTACTCCTCACGAAAAGTTTCCCTTTTTTGGGTTGTGCAGATCAGGTTTTACAGTAATTTTCATCCAGATCACATAATGGTGGCAGTAATATTTCTCCCCACCCCTGAAACTGTTGTTATGAACCACAACAACCTGGTTGTCCAAGATAGCTTATAGTGTTGCCAGTATAGATATAATATTCTTATTGAAGAGGGTAAGCCTTACCCCACTTCAAAGTGCCCATCCGTCTAGCCTCCAAGACCAACAGAACTAAATGAGAAGTAGATGGCTGCAAACTCTGAAAAGATGTCAAACTTTATAGATGCATATCAAAAATAGACATCACAAGGAGATGGATGTTAACCCATTTCATGCAAAAAATATCTCTTACTCATATAAGTAAGCACAATTTTTTGTGTGAAATTAATTAACATTTATCTCCTTGTGCTCCTTGTGCTGTCATGATTTAATTTTTCTATATTTGATGTGCATCAATAAACCGTGACATCTTTTCAGAGTGTGCGATCATCTACCTTTCATTTGTTCCTGGAGGAACTCACTACTACACAGTAATTTTAAAACTTGTTGGACAATCCTCTTACAGACAGGCCCCATCCCTTTCTTTGTTAGGAAACATAAGCAAGGATTAAAGTACTTTTATATGCATTGTCATTGCTAAGTAGTGTATGCAAGGAGAGGCAGATATATCACTGCCAGTTGTTAGTGGGTAAATATCGGCCAGTCTGTAGCCATCTATAAAATGTCACATATAAGGCGGTTATGCATATACAGTAGCTGTGTATTAGAATATTCCTACAGTTGTGTAATTTCAGTGAACAAAGCCAATCAAAATCCAGCAAAGTAGAGAGGCAGGAAATTCCCACGGCATGGTGGAGTCGTTTATGAAGAGGAGTCGGGTCATAGTGACACATACCTCAGTCTAGGAAAAAATGTGACATTGTGGGTTCAGACTGTTATGGTATATTTAGGCATGTATGTGTGTTGGGCACAGCAAATCAGCTCTGCGTGAATTATGGAAGTGACCTCTAAAAACAAATGACAAAATGGGTTATATATTTTGAGAGATGGGGAGGGGAGTAATGCAAGCTGAGCCTTAAAATAGTAGAAGGAAAAAAAGCTATAAAAAGAACATGAAGTACATATGCATAGTCTGTTACCCAAATAGGAGATCATACATTTTTTAGATAGTCCTTTTCTTGGGAAAGAATTACAGACTAGTAGAGGTCATAAGCACCTTTAACAAAGGACATCTCCACCAGAAACCATTTCACCTATGGGTGAGCGCCAGTGTAATGAATAACTTCTAACAATTTGCAGAGACTCCATCGTAGGGATTTGACCTTCACTTACATGCGATGAAGGTGTTATGTGCTCTTGAAGTGAGACTTTTCAATTGTTTGTCTATTTTTACATTATCAAGACTTTATATGGGAATTAACAGCACCATGTGCAGAACCATCCACTCATTAGCTCAGTAAGCCACCTCTGATCTGGCAGTGGTGGAAATGAACGGGTTCAGGCAAGGAGTCCGGAATGTAGTGAACACCATCATTCTCCTCCTCTGTGAACATGGCCTATAGCTGCAGTGTGAATGGGTGCAAATTATTTAAACTGGCTTTTACTGCAGATCCAATGAAATCATCAAAATTGGAGCAGGCAGAATCTGGAGTAACTGTGGTAACCAATCAGCTTCTATCTTTAATTTCAAAGCTTATCTGAATAATCTGAAGCTAGAAGCCGATTGGTGTCATGCACATCTGCTCAAGATTCTGCCTGCACCAGTTTTGATAAATGCCCCTATATCTGCATTCATGTACTTTTATTGTAAAAAATAACATGAACACCTTTAACCGCATTCCGCCTGCCATATAAGGAAATGACGGGTGGGTGGCGGTTCTCTCATTCTGGGAGGACGTCATATGACATCCTCCCACACTCTAACTGCTCATGCACGCCCCCGTGTCCCTGGGAAACAGCGCATCACCAATCAGAATAAAGAGTCCATGACGTCGGCTCTGTCATTTGATCAGCTGTGTCCAATCACAGCTGATCGCATGTAAACAAGGAAATGCCGGTTATCGGCAGTCCTCTCCTCACGCTGACAGTGCGTAAGGAGAGGAGAGCCGATAATTGGCATTCCACAGAGGGGACATCTACACTGATCATCAGGGCACTAATGATCAGTGTAGCCCCATCAGTGCCACCTGTCAGTGACCATCAATGCCACCTGTAAGTGCCCATCAATGCATATACCAGTGCACATCAATGCCACATATCAGTGCCCATCAGAGTTGCCTTTCAGTGCCAACTTTCAGTGCCAGTCAGTGCTACTTATCAGTGCCAGTCAGTGTCGCCTATTATTGCCACCAATCTGTGCCACCTATCAGTGTCAGTCAGTGCTACCTGTCAGTGCCGCCTATCAGTGCCCATCAGTGCCGCCTAACTGTTCCAATCAGTTCCGCCTATCAGTGCCATATATGAGTGCTGCCTTTCAGTGCCCATCAGTGATGCCTGTCAATGCCTACAAGTGATGCCTGTCAATGCCCATCAGTGCCACCTACCAGTGCTTCCTCATCAGTGCCGCCTATCAGTGCCCATCACTGCAGCCTCATTAGCGCACATCAGTGAAGGAGAAAAATTTCTTTAATTTTATAACAGAACCTAAGAAAAAACTTTTTTTTTTCAAATTTTTCAGTTTGTTTAGCAAAAAATAAAAACCCCAGTGGTGACTAAATACCCCCAAAAGAAAGCTCTATCTATCTAAAAAATAATGATAAAAATTTTGTTTGGGTGCAGTGTTGCATGACCGCGCAATTGTCATTCAAAGTGTGATAGCGCTGAAAGCTGAAAATTGTCCTACATTTTTTAAACACTTAGGGTAGCTTTAGAAGTGCATATAAATCTCCCTTTACTCTGAAGCCTGATCCAGGTTTGGATTGTGCTTCAGAGGATACTGACAGGTGATAAGGAAGCAATGTGGTGCCTCCTCACTGCCTGTTTTAACTCCATGTTTCCTGACAAATGTGCCACAACCGCATTGCGTTTGCAGCACTTCCCCATTTGCTAGAGTGTGCAGAAGTTACATGTCAGGTTAACTTTGCTGCGGGTGTGATCATGACATGAGAATACCCCTGTCCACTGCCTATTGCAGCTTGTGGGGGGGCAGAGATGGCGAGTGGCAAAAACGCAACTCAAATGTGCATTGTCCCCTTCCCCAGCCACACATCTAAATGAAGCCACACACTTACTGGTTGGTATTAAAAAAAACTACACATTGCATTTTTTCATCTAAAAAAAAGAAATGATATCAGACAAAAAGCCAAAGGAAAAGAAACATATGAGAGCCTTTACTATCTTTTAGATCTCACTTTTCTCCCAGCCAGTTAAACTGCTCTTAAATTGGATATACAAGTCATTATACTCTATGGAGACATGTGTTGTTTTGTCAGACATTTTATAGAAGCATTAACAGCAGAGTCATAGAACTCATGTTTCAGACTTTGTTCCATACTTTATATGGGCAAATCTGTTTATTTTGTAAGCTGAGTTTATAAGTATGTATTTTAGATCTGTGCGCTTAGTGGATAAAAATATATAATTTTAAAGAGGTGAAATTCTGTTCAGGTTGAAATGAGGAATGTCTGTAGCTATACAGGGTTATACAAAAAAATAGAAACACTATAGTACATGATTTTCAGGTGTGAAAGTGACGTGTTTTGCATTGAAAGCAAAAGTGATCTAACATTCTTTTGCTCCCACTGTGTGATGAGACACCTAGCTAATATCATTCACTGCATGCACTGCTAGTAATACAGACTCATGTTTCTTATCATTTGAATAAAGTTTCATCTATTTTACAGTTGTTTTCTCAATGTGTCACAAGATTGTGAGGGTGTCACAGATTCAGCTAGCAGCTGCACTTATCAAAGCCTGCACCTATGACTGCACTACACCTAGTTCTCAGCTGCAAGATTAATTAATATCCTCATGGCAAGGGGTATTCACATTCGGACTTATGAAGTCGTATTGCACTTACAAGTCAGGTAACTTTAATTTGAAAATTCAGTGACTACTTCACTTAGTTCCTGCAAGCAATCTCTGCATTCTCACAGATATGGTATGAGGGTAAAAATACCTGGTTATCCAGCCAGTCCCCTTAGGAAAGAGCCCCTTTTTATTTATTACTGATCACGCTTGGTATGGAAGCAGATTCTTTCTAGTGAATTTAGTTTGCATCAATTGTGTTTTGTTCATTTTACATTATTTGCATTTGCATTTATTTTTAACATATATAGGAATCTACTGTCTGTATTTGGAAATAGCTATTGCTTATTAATTACCACAGAGTTAGTTGGTTACAGGTATGTACTTCTTGTCCCTGCTAACTGGATCAGAAACCCTGATTGGAGGATTGTGATGGTATATAATGGGGAGTTTCCAGGTAAACTCAGAGAACTGAGCCACATTACTTTATACACACAGCTGCTGCTGTTTCACCCAGACCAAAATCACAGACTATTAGGCAAGTATTCCTATGTTCTAATACAGTGTCTTGAAAAAGTATTCATATCCCTTGAAATTTTCCACACTTTGTCATGTTACAAACAAAAACATAAATGTATTTTATTGGGATTTTATGTTATAGACGAACACAAAGTGGCACAGAATTGTGAAGTGGAAGGAAAAGGATAAATGGTTTCCAAACATTTTTTACAAATAAGTATCTGAAAAGTGTGGCGTGCATTTGTATTCAGCCCCTTTTACTATGATACCCCTAACTAAAATATAGTGGAACTATTTGCCTTCAGAAGTCACCTAATTAGTAAATAGAGTCCACCTGTGTGTAATGTAAGAGCAGTATAAATAAAGCTGTTCTGTGAAGCCCTCAGAGGTTTGTTAGAAAACATTAGTGAAAAACCACATCATGAAGACCAAGGAACACACTGGACAGGTCAGGGATAAAGTTGTGGAGAATTTTAAAGCAGGTTTAGGTTATAAAAAAAGTCCAAGCTTTGAACATCTCACAGAGCACTGTTCAATCCATCATCCAAAAATGGAGAGTGTGGCACAACTGCAAACCTACCAAGACATGGCCGTCAACCTAAACTGACAGGCCGGCCAAGGAGAACATTAATCAGAGAATCAGCCAAGAGGCCCATGGTAACTCTAGAGGAGCTGCAGAGATCCACAGCTGAGGTGGGAGAATCTGTCCACAGGACAACTATTAGTCATGCAATCCACAAATCTGGCCTTTATGGAAGAGTAACAAGAAGAAAGTCATTGTTGAAAGAAAGCCTTAAGAAGACCTATTCGCAGTTTGCAAAAAGCCATGTGGGGGACGCAGCAAACATGTGGAAGAAGGTGCTCTGGTCAGATGAGACCAAAATTAAACTTTTTGGCCTAAAAGCAAAACGCTATGTGTGGTGGAAAACTAACACTGCACATCACCCTGAACACACCATCCCCACCGTGAAACATGGTGGTGACAGCATAATGTTGTGGGTATGCGTTTCTTCAGCAGGGGCAGGGAAGCTAGTCAGAGTTGATGGGAAGATGGATGGAGCCAAATACAGGACAATCTTAGAACAAAGCCTATTAGAGTCTGCAAAAGACTTGGGACTGGGGTGAAGGTTTACTTTCCAGGAGGACAACGACCCTAAACATACAGCCAGAGCTACAATGGAATGGTTTAGATCCAAATATATTCATGTGTTAGAATGGCCCAGTCAAAGTCTAGGTCTTAACTACTTGCCCTCCTGAGAATTTACCCCCCTTAATGACCAGGCCTGTTTTTGCTACTCGGCGCTGCACTAATTCAACTGATAATTGCGCGGTCATACAATGCTGCACACAAACGAATTTACGTTCTTTTTTTCACACAAATAGAGCTTACTTTCGGTGGTATATGATCACCTGTGCGCTTTTTATTTTTCACATATAAACAATAAAAAAACAAATTTAGAAAAAAAAACTATATTTTTTACTTTCAGCTATAGAAAATATATAGTAAACTCAAAGTTAGTTATAAATTTAGGGCAAAATATATTCTGCTACATGTTTTTGGTAAAAAAAATCCCAAAAAGTGTATATTGATTGCTTTGCGTGAAAGTTATAGCGTCTACAAACTATGGTATAGATACTGCAATTTACGCCATTTTTTTGCTATACAGCGCTGTGCTAGTTTAACGGACAATTGCGCAGTCATGCAATACAGTACATTAATTAAATTTATGTCCTTTTTCACACAAATAGAGCTTTTTTTGGTGGTATTTGATCACCTGTGCACTTTTTATTTTTGGCGCTATAACCAGAAAAATTTTGAATAAAAAATTTTTTTTTAAAAAAAACAATATTTTCTCATTTCGGTCATAAAAAATATCCAAAAAAACTAAAATGTTGTCATAAATTTAAGCCAAAATGTATTCTGCTACATGTTTTTGGTTAAAAAAATCCCAGTAAGTGTATATTTATTGCTTTGTGTGACAGTTATAGCATCTACAAACTATGGTATAGATAATGGAATTCACACAGCTTTTACTTTCTGACTGCCCATCACATTTCTTGAGGTGCTAAAATACCAGGATAGTACAAACACCCTCAAATGACCCCTTTTCGGAAAGTAGACACCCTAAGCTATCTGCTGAGAGGCATATTGAGTCCATGGAAGATTTATTTTTTTTCCACAAGTTTCTGGAAAATGACAAAAACATTTTTTTTTTTTTTACACAAAGTTGTCATTTTAAATTATTTATTTCTCGCACAAGCCGTGGGTATATGTGGAATTACACCCCAAAATACATTCTGCTACTTCTACCGAGTATGGGGATACCACGTGTGGTGAGACTTTTTGGGAGCCTAGCCACATACAGGAGCCTGAAATCCAATGACCACTTTGAAAGCCTGAAGGTGTGTAACTTCCTCATTACACTTCCTCACTACCTATAACAGTTTCGAAGGCCCTGACATGCCAGGATAGCACCAAACCCCCTAAATGACCCATTTCTGGAAAGTAGACACTCCAAGAATTTTAAAAAGTAGCATGGTGAGTATTTTGCAGATCTTATTTTTTCTCACAAGGTTTTGAAATTTAAAAAAAGAATAGAAAAAATATGTTTGATTTTTTTCTTCATTTTCCAAACACTTGTGGCAACAAATGAGATCTGCAAAATACTTACCGTGCTTCTTATCAAATTCCCTGGGCTGTCTACTTTCCAAAAAGGGGTCATTTGGGGGGGTTAGGTGCTATCCTTGCATTTCAGGGCCTCCGAAACTGTGATAGTTAGTCTGGAAGTGTAATGAGGAAATAAAGCCCTTTAAAAGCCTGAAGGTGCTTGTGGTAAAAAAATAAATTCTTCTATTGATTCAACATGCCTCTCAGCAAATAGTTTGGGGTGTCTACTTTCCAAAAACGGTTCGTTTTGGGGGTGTTGGGGGTGGGGGCATTCTATGCCCAGCATTTGAAGTTTATGCCACACATCACTCACTCTTCTAACCACCTGAAGATCAAGCCTTTTCTGACACTTTTTGTTCACGTGAAAAAAATCAGTATTTTTTGCTAGGAAATTAATTTAAACCCCCAAACATTATACATTTTTTTAAAGCAGACACCCTAGTGAATAAAATGGTGGGTACTACAATTTTTTATGGCGCATAGTACTCGCACCGCGATTTTTCAAAAGCAAATATTTTTTTTAAAAATACACTTTTTTTACTTTTAATGCACAAAAACAC